GTCCGGGAAGAAACGGACATACCATATTAAAACTTATTTGAAAGGCAAGTGGAAAAAGACGTGGGAAAGATGGTTACAAAGTCAGCTTCGTTGGCAATGGCTGCACCAAAGGTTTATTAGCTCCCAGCGGGAGGTTTCAAGGAGGCCCCTGTGAAATACCCTGAACTGAAAGCCGCCGATCGCCTGTCAGAATTTGGTGTAAAACTCTAGGGGGTAATGCCTGCAATTCCAGCACTCTACTAGACTGAGGCAGGAGGGTCTCAAGTTCTAGCCCAACCTGGGTAATTTAGCAAGACCCTCTTTCAAAACAAAAATAACAATGATTTAAAAGGGCTGGGGATGTAGCTACACGCAAGGGCCGTGAGTTCAGTTCCCAGTGCTGGAGTCCCTCATCCCTACTATGTACAACTTAGGGTGTTGTTACCAAAGGCACAGGCACTGAGGTGCAGTGAGCAGGCTGGGGCTGTGGCATAGGGAGACAAGGTATTTGAGAGAAGTGCGCCCAGGTTGCCTTTGGTCCTGATAAGGTGAATGCATAGATGCTGCCTTACTGGTTGGACGGCGGCTGCATACAAGTAACCCTAGCAACTATTGAAGACCGGAGACCAAGCCAGAAGTCGTCCTTACCGCGGTGCTCTGCGCAGCTCACAGGGCCTTGCTGCGGTCCTGGGGACGAGGGGTAAGCTGTGGTGCTGCGATGGGAAAAGAGGAGAGGAGGAGGCATGGGTCCTGCAGGGACAGCAAGAGGCGGGAACCAGGGGGTCCAACCTGGGGACACAGGAGTGGGCGGGGAGGGGCTCACATCAGACGCGAGGCTGCTGTCCGTGACTCTTCCTGGGGTAGGGCTGCAGCAACCTCATCTTTTTGCTGGGTGGGTACTGGAGATGAACCCTGGGCCTTCACACTGAGCTACATCCCCAGTCCTTTTGATTTTTTAATTTTTATTTTATTTATTTATTTTTTGGTACCAGGGATCAAACTCAGGACCTTGCACTTGTGAGGCAGGCGCGGTGCCACTGAGCTACATCCCCAGCCCTGATTTTTTATTTTGAGACAGGGCCTCACTAAGTTGTTACATTCCCTGGGCTGGGCTCGAACTTTGGATTCTCCTGCCTCAGCCTCCCAGAGTGCTGGAATGACAGGTGGATGCCACCATGCAACCTGATCATCTCTGGTCCTAGTCCAAGGCAGCGAGGGTAGTGAACCCCGTGTGACATCTTGTACGTTGTTTGGGGCCCAGTCACGGGCATCTCCCTCGGTCCCTCACAGAACACAGCGCTCTGAGGGAGCCTCAGCAGGGTAGTAGCTCCTTCAGAAATGGCTCGCCAAGCAAAGCAGTCCAGGTCCTTCCTGACTCCAGTAAAGGATTCGAGGAGACAAGCCAAAAATGGCACCAAAAGTTTATTTGAAAAGTGAGGGGTGCCGGGGTCAGGGGAGAACCAGCTCTGCAGAGCAAACTTGGGCAGAACAAGAGGAAAAGAGCAAAAATAAAAGCACAGCTTCATCTGAGCAACTCGGGGGTGGGGGGCTGCGGTGGGAAGTCAGGATAGGGGCTCCCCGCGACTTCGGGGCTTCTTTACGCCGCCCACATCTCCTGAGAGCCCTGAGAAGTCCCACATCCGTCGTCCTGGGAGTTATTTGACGTTGCCCTGGGATCCTGTGATTGACAGGTCCCGCTCTCTCCCAGCCGGGTTTGCCACGCGCTGCGTCCTGTACCAGATCCCTCCGCGTCCGAGCGCGGCTCTCCTCAGGTCAAACGCTCTGCAGACCCAGAAGGCCCGGGCGCTGCTTCCAGCTCTGCGCACACAAAGAACCTCTCCAGGTAACTTCTTCCGGTAAACCCTGGAGAGTCCTCTGCTGTCTGAGAATTCTCCAGTGAACACAAGTCCACAGGAAAACAAATTGTGATTTTAATGCAGTAGACACGGCCCTTCGGTCCACATGGAGTGCTTAGTAGTTTCTTGGGCCCCCGTATTTTGGGAAACACTGACACCTTCTCTTCGGGTGCTCCACTGCGGGAGGGAGTGACTTGTATGATATGAGTATTTAACAGACTGCGTAAACCAGGGTTGTGCTTTTTTTTTTTTTTTTTTTTTTTTTTTTTGAGACAGGATCTTGCTAAGTCACTAAGTTCCCCAGGCTCGCTCCAACTTGAAGTCCTCCTGCCTCAGCCCTGGGATCACTAGCAGTGCGGGTTTCTCCGGAAACAGATAATGAGATGCACACTGGCGTGCAGGCAGTGGGTTTGGAGCAGCGCCCAGGGGACATGGTGAAGTTTGAGGACTGGAAGCAGGAGAGGCAGCCAGCACTATCCAGGTGCAGCAGGCTGCAGCCGGGTATCTGGACCACGGGACAGTGAGTCGCTGGCGGGGGCGTCCCCTTCAGGCTCTTGCTTCTGGGGGTAACAGGGATCTTGCTGCCTGAGGTCCCTCAGGTGGGGAGGGGCAGATGCTGGCCAGTGTGGGCAAGTGGAGTGGACAGACCTGAGGGGACATGGGTGGGGCTCTGTCAGCATCTGCTTACAGGGTCACTATGGCGACAGGAGTGTCCTTAGCTCAGACTGCACATTCACAAAGGGCCTCAAACTGGGCGTGTAGCACAGACCAGTAATCCCAGCACCCTGGGAGGCTGAGGGAGGAGGATCTCAAGTTCGAATCCAGCCTGAGCAATTTAGCGACTTAGTGAGACCCTGTCTCAAAAGCAAAAAAAGGACTGGGATAGAGCTCAGTATGGAGGCCCTGGATTCAGTCCCCAGTACCACAAACCAAAAGGCCTCCTCTTTAAATTAACACATCATCTCTGAGCCAGAGTAGTTTAGAGTATGCGTTTCAGTCTGACCATTGGCTTTGTTCCATAAGTTTTCAGACAGGCAGACAGACAGCCCGGAAAGAAGTCTGTCCGGTGGGTTAGGTCTCGTGGATGGGCCACAGCAGTCAGTAGAGGAGACCTGATGGGCTACACAGTGGTAAACACATGAATTTCACGTTTCTCCCAGATCTTTCCATTATCTTATAATTGTATCATCTTGTATCTTTGTGCTAATAGACTTACTTTGTTAATTATTTTTTAAAGTATTTAAAATTTTTAAAAAGCATTTATTGGTAAATTTTTTATAAGCCCGCTTTAATAAATCTTTAATTTGTAATATAATGAGATGCTCAGAAGTTGAAAACCAACTGGCCTGTCACCATCAAGAAGGCCTCAATTAAAAATGGTAGCATCAAGTCAGGTGTGGAGGTGCACACCTGTAATCCCACCACTCTGGGAGGCTGAGGCAGAAGGATTCCAGGTTTGAGCCCAGCGTGGGCAACTTAGTAATTTAGTGAGCCTCTGCCTCAAAATTAAAAATGAAAAAAGGGTTGGGGATTGAAGGGCTCAGTGTTACAGCCCTGGGTTCAAGCCTTAGTACCCCCTTCCCCCCGAAAAGAGAATCAAGGAGAAATTGGGGACAAAATTAAGAAAAATGAAAGCGTCCAAGAGATGAAAGTCCAGGGCATTTTGCTGTCACCTCCAGGCAGGAAACAGTGAGAGCAGTGCAGGAGGGCTGGGCTGAGTGCTTTCTTTCTCCCTGCGCTTGCAGCACTTTGTGAATCCAGGACTAAACAGATCAGTTCAGCTGACCCAGGCAACTCTCATATATTTTGCTTCTTTATGTTAAAGAAAACAAATTACACACAAAAAAGTGAACATTAAGCATTGTTGGGTGATAAATCAGAGTTGTCATTTTGCTTTCTAAACCTAGTGGGACTTAATATATGTTCCAAATAAGCATAAGAATATTAATGGGCAGAAATGAATGGATAACCATAAAATCTGCAAAATGGAATTCCACAAGGTTTTTTCAGGGACTTTGCAAAGGCTGAAACATTAAAAAATTCCTTGTTATCATACTATTTTAATATAAGCTGATTAGATTGAATGAGACAACTTATTTTTCTAATTTCAAGTTGAAAGTTATTTACGAAGTTATCTTTTGCAAACTCAAGCTCTAAACTGTTGTTGGTGAAATTATGATTTCTCCAAATAGAAGTGCTTAAGTAATGACTGACTAACCAGACTATAACCCTCTCATTTATAAGGATAACCTTCCTTGTGTCACAGTTAGTAAGACGAATTAAAAAGAGGACTAATTTTTACAAGTGAGAGATATTTGTTAAGATTATGTGACTTATGTTTTTTAAATCACAATTTATAAAGTTAAGAAGCTTTTTAAAGATAGTTGCATACAATGTTAATAAAGATAATATAAACTGGACAGCTTGGATTATAAGTACTCCTTTTAAAGAACATGTCATTTTAGTGAGCTTTTTTAGCTATCAAATCAAAGCAATTAATATATATAATATGAAATATTCAATCTGTTCAGTGAGATATGAATGGATATTGAAATAAATATTTTTCCTACCTTAGTATTCATGAAAAATGAAGTGTTTATTAAAACTGAACTGCTTCTATAAAAGTTAAAAACACTTAACTCCCAGGTATCCAGAGAGCAGCTGGATGACTTGTTCTGAACAGGAGGTATCCCGCCCAGCCCTGTGTGTTGAGTGTGATGGCTTAGAACGAAGATGTCCCCTACGGGCTCCAGTGTGTGGAAGGGGATTGGATCATGGGGCGCCATACTCACCAGTGGATTCATCTGTTCGAGAGTTTAGAGCTGAATGTGCTGTTGGGAGGTGGGGCCTGGTTGGAGGAGACCACTGGGGTGCAGCCTGAAAGGATGTACTCTTGTTCCTGTCTCCTTCTGTCTTCTTCCTCTCTCTGCTTCCTGGCTGCCATGGTGTGAGCAGCTTTCTGCCACCAGGCCCTTCCACCATGCTGGTTCTGTCTTAGAGCCAGCTAACTATGCCCTGGACCTACTGAAACCATGAGCCAAATAAATCTCTCCTCCTCTAAGTTGAGGGTGTTGTATATTTTGTCCCAGTGATGGGAGATTGGTAAAGACAGTAAGACCCTGGCTTCCGAGGCCTGTGCAGATGTTGCCATCAAGTGGAGGGGTGGGCGAGGTGACAGTTACAGACCACCTCAGGAAGGGGCATATATTCCATGCATTGCTGTGTAATGGATTCCTCAGACACAGCCGCCCAAACCACCAATATTCCTTACCTCACGGCTTCTAAAGCCAGGCAAATGGCCGTGGCTGAAACGGGCTGTAGGCAGGCTGTCCCCTGGGGCTGCACATCTGGAGGGCTCACAGGACTATCCCCCACTGGGGACCCTCTCCCGATGGAGCAGCTGGCCTGCAGAGGGTAAGCTCTGAGAGAGCAGGCTGGAGGCCAAATCTCCTCTGAACCCCACATCTCCAAAACCACATGCCACTTTTTCTGTGTTGTTCTATTGTTGTTAGATGCAAGTCACTAAATCCAGCCCACATTTGAGGGGAGGGGAACTAGGCTCTGCCTTTTGACATTTTAAGCAGCCACAGTGCCCCCGCTAGTGTCCACAGTATGTTCCTAGCGCTGATGTTTAAGACATAGACCCAAATGCCATGGATCTCCAAACAGTGGAGTATGAAAGTACCAACAATTCTGCGTTTTCAGAGAGTGGGATCTGACGTGTCAGGGCCCTGTCAGAGATGGGCCTGTTTGATGGCAGCAGTATTTTGTAACATCCACACAGCCAGCTGAACTCATAGGAGCATCCCTAGCCAAGCAAGCCTACTCCTGAGAGCTGGGCTTGTGACAGTGCGTGCTGGGGTGGAAGCAGGGTGACAAGGAGAGAGGACACCGAGGGCCCCGAGGACACTGTTTCTGGACAGTCACTCCAACACGCACCACACTACCAAGCTTTGCTTGAAGAACTGACGTTCACTCGTCAATCCTTAGGTGTGTTTATATTCGGGGGTGGGGTTAAGCTACATGAGGCCATTCGCTCCTGGCTGTGCTTCCAGGAAAAGGGAAGAAACAATTAAAACTGCTCCAGTTTACTGACTCCATTGTGATGTTTCCAAAGCAGCACAGAGCAGGGAAATTAAGGCATCAGTTTACCGAGTTGCACAAAACAGAATTCTTTTAAAATGTATTTTCCACTGCCACATTACAGGGATAATTAATATCCAAAATGATGATGTTGAGTGTCTGTCAGACTCCGAGGAACCTAATGAATAATTAGAGAGAAATAGTTTTCAACAGGATTTCATGCTTGGCGCAGTTTGAACCCTAACACTCCTGATAGATGGTCCCGGGTGACTGCCTAATTCCCCAGTCATGTGAGTGTACCCCACGCCAACGCTAGCCCAGGAGTCAGCACAGGGAGACTCCAAAGCCACCTTTTTCCTTCTGGAGCAAAAACTCAATAATTTACTTATAAAATAGAAGTGTAAAAATGATGTTAATAATAATTGAGATAATTTAATTGTTGAAATTCAGGATAATTATAATAAAGTTACAATACTAAAATACTGTTCTTATAACTGAGGCATGGTGCTGTGATTTAGACTGGGGTGTCCACAAGGCCTCATGTTTGGGAGGCGACTGAATCACGGGGTGCCTCACTCATCCGGGGATTACACCCCTGAGGAGTCCATCTCTGCCTTGCTGTCAGGAGGCGGCGCCTGGCTGGGAGAGACCGGCCCTGGGGAGTAACCTGGACGTCTCTCTCGCGAGGCTCCGCCCTTTGCTCTCTGGCTGCCATGATGTGAGCGGCTGTCCTCGTCCAGGGCCCTCCACCATGCCGTTTCCGCCTTGACGCCAGCCTGCCATGGACTGTACCCACGAGCCAGAGAAAACCTCTTCTCCTTCGCGAGGGTGGGGCACTGTGGGTGCTGGGTGTCTAGAACTGTGGGTGTCTGGATCTGTGTCCCAGAAATGGGACAGTGACCAAGACACACGGGCTGCCCTTGCGTATTGCACCTTGACCCAGAGCTGATGCCAAAACATTACCCAGGCTGGGGCTTCCTTTCCTACTCCAGAGGCCGCCGCGTACTCCAATGAGACTGCACTCTTGTCTCTTGCTGCTCCTGTGGTTGGCTGACATACTGCCCTATTTGGAGAAAGTTCCAAATCAACGTTTGTAAAGCAGCAAATCAAGTCTGATGTCTACATTTGACAGTTGAGAAATTGATCCCAAAGGTGATGTGACTTGCCCAAAGCCACATAGCAAGTGAGGTGTAGAGCACCAGCGAGGGCCCGAGATGCTCAGTTCCCAAGCAGAGACAGTTGGCAACATCTCCTGCCACCCGAGGCCACTAACAGCTAATGCAAGCTCTCCACTCAGCACGGCCAGAGAAGCCTGAAAATGAGGGCAGACAGAAGGAAGGAGGTGAGATGGGAGTGAGGGAGGAAGGAAAAGGAAAAAGAAGGAGGGAGGGAGGGAGGAAGCGGAAGGGAAGAAAAGGGAAGCGGGCAGGGAGGAAGGAAAAAACACTGAGGCATAGTATTTCAACAATGCATTTGACTGACGAAGTTGAAGTACCACGTATTCTGTCGCAGATCCCTGAACTGAAAGCATTTCAGTAGCTTTAAGCAGCTTTAGGAGATTTTGAGGGTCTCTGAGTCTCAGGGATAGGCAGTCTAGTCATTAGATCGCTTCGTAACTGTTCCTTCAGCATGGAGGCTGAGTCTCTCAGGCAGCGTGGGCAGCTCAAGGTCAGCCTGCTAGGAAAAGGGGACTGACTGTGCAATACCTGGAGCCTCACCACCACCTCCTCACCCACACCCCCAGCTGGGCCATGAGGAAATAAACTGCAGAAGGGACCACCCCACTCCTAAACATTCCCACACGCGCAGGGTCAGGGTCCGAGAAGAGACACTTCCTGACTGGTGAGGACGGACTTAGATAGCATGGTCTGGGGACAAGGTGTGCTCACCACACTGGGGTCTCACTGCCTCTCTCCCTCTCCATGGGCTGATTTAGAGGAAACAAATGCCCTTTAAAAAGGCAGCTTCATGTAGACCTTTCAACTCAAATTCAGCTTTGATTAATATTTCGTTTTGTATCTCTTTCCTCTTACACTGAAAAATCTTGGCTTTTATAACATAACATTTCTTTTCTCCTAGTTCAGAATGACATATTGTTCTTAGTTACATACTACTATTTAATTACATGGAACTCAACTAATCTCTTACAATTACATATTGTCTCAGTTCTGAGCTACAATATTGTATTAAGAATGGAGTAAAGTTTAAGATTTCTTGCTATTCATTTATCCTTAGATCACAGCCCACTATGTGTGTATAATGAGGATACTAAAATAATCATTTCTCTATGTAGCTGTTGTTGCCACATTTCAAGTAAAGTAAACTCATTTGTCCCAATTTGTTTTCCATTTTAAGATTTTATTTTTATCTTTTTTATTTCAGTGTGTGAATACAGAAAACATTTATGTGGCCCCAAAGTTAGAAACTGTACCAAAAGGTAACCAGACTCAGTGTCACTTCCAGCCCTCTCCCTTTATTCCCTCCACCTCCTATAGAGAACTATTCTTGTTGCTTCTTTTTGCAAATGTAAGCGAATACCTCAATGTACTCTTAGTCCTCCTTTTTTCTCCCCTTAAACCCTAAACATAGCACATCTCATGAACTGCTGTGTACTCCTATTTTAAGTTGAAAGATATGTTCTGGAGGTTATTTCAGTTTATAGACATCTCCTCTGCATCTCTGTAACCAACTGGTCTCCGGTTCTTGTATTTCCTACAGTTTATTAACAGACTCGCCTACTGGCCGATGTTTAGGTGCTTTCTAACCTTTTGCTGCCACAAACAATGTTGTGTTATTTAACCTTGTGTAAATAACCTAGTGAAGACATTTTTTCAGGGTAGATCCCTAAAATAGCAGGGTCAAAGCTTAACACATATATAACCTTGAATTTTGTTCAGTTTTGTCAAATTTCCTTCCCTGGCATCATCCCCTTTTGTACTTCTGCTCTCAAGACAATGTGGCCTCGAGCTTTGTCTTTTTTTTGTTGTTAGGGAAACCGAGCCTCACTTCACAGATAAGGAGCAGCTCACTCTGCTTTTTCTCTTTGTTCTTACATTTATCTCTGCTCAGGACCCCTGCCAAGGTTTTGGCTTCTCCATTTCTTTAGAGCTCTTTGTGTACTTGCCCTGTCTGTGAGACTGAAATGAAAACAACAACAACAAAAATCAAAGGACGAAGCAGAGTCTAACAGTCTCAAAGCTTGGCAGAGTTGACAAGGCTTGGCCCCTCCGCCTAGACCCACGAAGGTCCACTGCGCAAAACGATGAACTGCTGAAACAGTGCTGCCTGTGCCTCCCCACGTCTTAAACGGTAAAAGCAACATTTGCCTGCACCTCCCCGTGCTGAGTTCTGCTTCTGGAAAATTCTGCTTGCTTCCCCGCCCTGCCCAAAGAGCAGGATAAAAATGAAAACCAGCTTAGAACTGGGGCTCAGACTCTGGAAAGTGACTTGTGCTGGGCCCGCTAGCAAAGAAACCTGCCTTTCCCTTCCTTTCTCCGAGTGCTGCTCTCTCCCTCGGTCTGCCTGCCTCGGAGTGCTGTAACAAGGTAACCTGCAATGTCTTTCCTTTCCTTGTCATTTTTGTTCCGTGCTGGGGATTTGAACCCAGGGTTTTGCATATGCCAGCCAAGGGCTCCACCACCGAGCTAGAGCTCCGGCCCTTGCCGTTCATCTCCTGACTGCGCTTATGTTCTTCTGTTTGTTTTGGGCAGTAAAGTGTATCAGCCCTTCCCAGTTTTTGTTCCTGCAGTTTGAAAGGCTTTTGGCCCTCTGGGTTATAAAGTCTTTCACCTGGGCAGTACTCCTTTGATCTCATCTTTTCTGTTCGGGTCTCTCTCTGGTGTGCAGGGAGTTTATTTCAGGGTAAATTCACTTCATCTTTCCAGATGGCTTTCCATTTGTCCAGGCACCATTTATCAAAGTCCATCTTTTCCTCAGAGGGGAACTTGACTTACTTTTAGACACTAACTTGAAATAATGCAGCACACGGAGACAAGGGAACAGATACCTGAGGAGAGAGATGAGCTCCCCAAATAGATGCCGCTCCTCTCCTGGGGGTGCAGCTGCTGCCTCCCTCTCCTCTCCTTCCCTCAGCACTGCTGTCCTCCCCGGTCTCTGGGGCCACACACTGCCTGACCTCTCGTGTTCTGGGAGCCTGGCTTCTGTGCCCTGTGCCACCCAGCAGCATAGGCCCTGGCTTCCAGCCGGGTTCACCTCACGGGCACTGCCAGAGCAGAGGCCGAGAACAGACTCCAGGCCTCACTTTGGCAGGGCCGAGACACGCTCCATAGCTACCTCTTCAGTGAATCAGCCCCGCCCTATTGGGGGCTGATCAGACCTCCAACCACCTGACCAAGGGCATGGCGGAGGATAGCAAAAGACAAGACAAGATCTTTGTTGCATGAAGGGGCCCCAAGACAGTCAGAGCTCTTACCAGGCTGAGACGCTGACTCCTGGAGCTTGCCACTCTTTACTGAACACACAGCTTCTTGGAGGGGCCAGGGGCGGTGCAGGGGACAGCAGAGTGGACAGCACTGACGCGAGCAGGGTCCTAGCAACAAGAGAATGAGACTGTAGCAGGAATAGCTCATGGATTAATGGGAAATTTGTTTTTTCCCATAGATTAATTTTTACTTCTATAGAAGTTTTGCATATGAGTCATGCTGCCCTGAGCTGCACTACTATTGTCTTGGCATCCGTGATGTCACAGGGTTGCAGATCACTGAGGCCTCCGCTGTGACCAGTGGTATGGGGAGTTGTTCTGTTCCCATGCAACTGCTGCTCTTCAGGCAACCACTGCAGGCCAATAGGCAGACTCATATGAAAAGCCAGTTTATGAATCTGCAGCTCGCTCAGGTGGTCCCTGTCACCTCTGAGCTGCAGCTCTTCTGGGTTCTGATGGGCCCTGCCCCTCCTTCACTCTTGCAGGCCTCTGGAGAATACTTCCCATGCTGGCCCCCAGTGCCCATGCCTCTGTGAGGAGGCCCTCCTGAGCCTTCTGGAGTACACCCTCTTCTCCTTTGGTCATGCAGACTGCCAGGGCCTCACTGATACCAACAGTGTCACAAATACATACCAACCCATCTGTCAAAAATGTAGATGACATGTGTAATCCTATCACTCTGGGAGGCTGAGGCAGGACTTAGTGAGACTCTGTCTCAAAATTTTAAAAAAGTAAAATTAAAAAGAGCTGAGGATGTAGCTCAAAGTGAAACCCTGGGTTCAATCCCCAGTACTACACACACACACACACACACACACACACACACACACACACACACACACAAACTTCCTTTCTAGTATTGCAGAGTCATCCACTCCCCTGGGGTACAAGGTATGGAAGGCAGAGGCTGATCATGAAAAGTGGGAAACAGGGAAAGCAGCCTCTATTCCCTCAGAAGTCAGTTCTCTCATAAACATTCCCGTTCCAAAAGGGAGGATACAGGAATAGACAGAAATTGGGCCAAAGCAAGACCAATGTTCAGCGGCTGTTGCCTGAAATTCTTGTCATTCCTTGGACTGGTGGGTCCAGTCCAGGAGCCTGGGCATGGTAGGATTCCTCAGAGTACCACAGCTAACAGGATGTCCTTCCTCAGTGAGAGATAAGAGGCGACTTGTGGGAGCTGAGAGGTCCCACAAGGTGTTGTGTGCAACCCAGAACAGGAAAGCTGGTGGCGTGGGGTGGGGGTGGGGACAGGCAGCCAGAGCAAGGCCCAGAGTCTGAGCCCTGGCTGAGGGCAAAAGAACATGATGTCCCAGAAGAGGCAGAGAGCATGAATTCACCCTTCCTCCACTTTTTTTTTTCTTTCAAATCTCTGCTGTCAGCAGATAGGGAGATGCCCACACACAACAGAGAGGGCAGATCTTCTCTGCTCAGGCCACTGATCTGGAAGCAATCTCTTCTGGAAAAACTCTCCCAGATACACCAGGAGATGATATTTACCAGTGAGCTGGGTACCCCTTAGCCCGGTGAAGTTGACCCATGTAGTTAACCATTACATTGAATTACCCGGTAGTCACATCTCTCTGCTGTCTAACTTCAGTTACTCTTCAGTTATAGCCCCTTGGGCTCTGGAACGAGACAGCAAAGTTTAGGATTCTGATGCAATCACTTCTCAGCAGGGTAACTTATAGAGAGACTGGATTTTTGGGGCCTCAGATTCTTTATTTTAAAGTGGGGATAATAATAGCTCAGCATCCGTAGGTTTATGTAGGGATTAGACAAGTTTAATATATGAACGGTGGGAAAGAAATGTGAAAGTTGTCAAAGTCAAAATGGAGTCACTTTTGTCAACCCTATACCTCCCCTGCCTCCCCCAGAAGTAAATAAAGCTGAGGGGCTATGAAGGGAGGGTTCTGACACATGATTGCCTGATAGTCACTATCCCAAAGATTGCTGGAATTACAATCTTGCAGAGAGGCCACTGCAATCTTATACTAAAAATACTTCCACAAGGGCATCTTCCTGGGAACTGTCTGTTTAATCTTGAACCAATGTCACTCTTGTCATTAATCAGTATGACTGCGGACTATTGTTTGAAAATATCTGATCTTCCTCATTTTTTGCCCTTAAAAACTTTCCCTAGTATATCGGTCACTTCCTGTCACTGGGACACAGTACTCAATACCCACAACTTAAAGGAGGAGAGGTTTATTTTGGCTCATAGTTTCAGTGGATTCAGTCTATGGTCAGTCAGTTTCAAGTCCGAAATAGCATGGTAGAAAGGTCTGGTGGAGGAAAGCTACACATTCCCTGGTAGGTGGAAAGCAGAGATAGAAGGGAAGAGCTGGAGACAAGAACACACCATTCTGGGTCACACCCCAGTGACCTGTCCCTTCCAGCCAGGCTCCACCTTCAAACATAAGACTTGGGAAGGTGCATTTTAGATCTAAACTAGATATAACATTTTTAGCCTGGTTCTCAAAAGACTCATGTGCATCTCTATGCAAAATGCATTTAGTCCATCTCTAAGAGTTACCAAAGTCCTAACCATTCTGGCATTGCTGAAAAGTCCAAGCACAAAGTTTCCTCTGAGACTCCAAGCAAGCTCTTCACTATGAGGGCCTGGAAAAATCAAAAATAAAGATAAATGTTGGTGATATACAATGGCATAGTGTAAACATTCCCATTCCAAAAGGGAGGAATACAGAAATATAAATTGGGCCAAAGGGAGATCAAAACCCAGCAAGGCAATCATTAAATCCTATAAATCCATGACCAGCACCTGGGGGATGTTGTGGTGAGATGTGAACCCTAAAGGGACTGGATGGCCCCACCCCTATGGCATTGCCCAGTTGCAGCTCACATGGCCTCTCTCTTGGGGTGTCTGCTCACTGCCGGCATCTTTCCTCAGCAGAAGATCCATGTTCTTAGTACCTCCAACTTCTAGGGTCTCCACTTCACTCTTATAGCTTCACTCACTGCCCTATGAGGGGCACATTGCCCAGCCTCCCAGGCCTTCCTTTGAAATCTGGGTAGAAACTGCTGTGATCCCATAACTCTTGCATTATTCATGTCTGAAAAACCAAGACCATATGGATGATGCTAAAGTCTCCCACCTGCTTGAGGAGTATCCTGCTGTTATGGATTAGACCTAGAATGTCCCTCACAACACTCACACACTCAGAGGCAGAGATTTTGGAAGGTGATTGGAACATGAGGCACTGCACTCATCAGTGGATTTACCAACCTAGATCCTCCCTTCTCTTTCAGCTTCCTGGCCACCATGATATGAACAGCTTTCCTCCATCAGTTGCTTCTATCATGCCATTTCTGCCTTGGAGCCAAGCAACTATGAACTAAACTGTGAGCCAAAAGAAAACTCTCCTTTAAGTTATGGATGTGAGATACTGTGTCTTACCAATAAGGAAAGTGACTATGATACCTGGTCCCCCTAGACCATGGCCATAGTGGCCATTGAGTGCCTGGATGGCTGAGCACTATAAAATGAGTCCCAGAAAACCAATTCCCTAGATAGCCATTCTTCAGCAGGTATCCCAAGGACTCTTCTCAAAGGAAAGTTCTAGTTCTGAACCCTTGAATCTGCAACAGGTGAGATCTTGATGATTCTCAACATGCCTTAAAGCCATCTTTCCTATTGTCCTGAAATGAAGTACTTGTCTTCTTTTTAATGCTAATTTTTTCATAAACCTTGCTCTCCATGGTCCCAATTTTGCTGGCATTTCCTTTCCAGAAAAACTGGCAACTTTCAAAATCATTCAGCTGTTCTCTTTTCTCATGATTCTCACTGTAAATCTCCTTAAAAACATCTAGAAGCATCTGTGTCACATCCTGAACACCGGGCTACCTTGAAACTTCCTCCACCATCCTTAGACTCAGTCTCCAACATATCTTTGCAAAGTATCAAGACGTGGGCACAATATAGATAAATGTTTTGCCAGAACATAATATGCCATGCCCAAGTTGCCAATAAACTCCTCATTCTCAACTGAAACCTCATAAGCCTGGCCTTTACTGTCTGCGTTTCTATAAGCATTCTGGTCTTCTGGACTCTGAACAGAATATCCCATCAATCTCTGCTTACTCTACTTACAGAATTCTAAGGCTTCTCTAGCCTGAATCTCCAAACCTTTCCAAATGCTTCCCACAAACCAATTCCAAAGGCTTCTGAACTACATGAATAAGTACAGTCACAGCAATGGCCCCACTCTCTGTACTAATTTTCTGCATCAGTCACTGCCTCACTAGGACAAAATACCTGGCAACTGCAACTTAAAGTAGGAGAGGTTTATTTTGGGTCACAGTTTCAGTGGATTCAGTCCATGTCAGTTGGCTCCTATGCAGAAACCATACAGTGGAAGGGTCTGCCATGGAGGAAAGGTGCTTACATCATGGTGGTCAGGAAGCAGAGAGAGGAGGGAGAAGCTGTGGATTAAAATATACTCTTCCATAGCTAAAACTTGGAAGCAGCCCAATAACCCATCAACTGGAGACTGGATAAAGAAAATGTGGGTTTTTTTTTTTTTTATAAAATAGAGTACTACTCAGGCATAAAAAATGAGAAATTAGAGGCATTTATAGCTAAATGGATGCACATTGAGGTGATACTCTTAAGTGAAATAAATAGGACACACGTGTAAATAGCAAATAGTTTCTCTAGTATGAGAAACTGAAAGTGTAAATAAGGACTAAAAGGTATAATAGATAATGTGAAATAGGAAGAAAAGGGGCAAAGGGGAGGGGGAAGTGGGAGGGGTAGGGGAAAGGAAAGAAGGGAATGGAATTAATATGAGAAAAGGAAAAAATGGAAACAAAATCTTTGTAAATAGGGAGGGATAGAGGGGTTGAAGGGAGGGCAGGAGAAGGGGAAAAAATAAGAACCAAGGGAGTATGTAAAGGTGCAAATTTCCAATGATGAATGTCATTATATTGTGCACCTAAAATGTACCAATGAAATTAATTAAAAACAACATACTCTTTCAAGTCACCCCCCCAGTGACTCCCCTCTTCTGACCAGGTGCCACCTCCAAACATGAAACTTTTGGAGGACATTTTAGATCTGAGCCATAACACCTGGCCCAACCTCTTTGAGTATACCTATAGTTTATTTTGGCACCTGTATTCCCTTTTCAAGGCCTTACCACCTCCATTGAAGTGCTCTGCTTTTCTCACATGAATGTCTTTATTCTCTGGAGAACCTCCGAATTTTTTAATATTGACAATGGTGTTTAGCATGGTTGTAACCTCAACTACTGCTATTCTCATTAAAGACCCTTATTCCTTGCTCCACTTTGACTACTGTGCTTTCCTCATTATCATGTCCTTCCATCTCTTTTCTGTAGGGAGCGAGCCCCTACTATCTACTTTTCAGGGCCAGGCTGAAACCTGTCTCCTCCTGGAAGTCTTCCCTTACCTATCCAAGTCCAAATTCTCTCGCTATCTGGGCTCCCTACCAAATACAGCTAGCTTTATTTACATAACTAAAACATTAGCCTTAAAAGCATTAAGTAAATATATACTTATTATAGCTTCTCTTATTTTTCCCTCTGAGATTTCATGTAAGTTAAGGGGTGGGGGTCTTATCTCCCTAGGGTGGAAACACTGGGCTGAAGCTCAAGACTTGTGACACCCTTCTGAATGAATGCTGTGAATTCTTCGGCACGTATTCGGGAGAATTATTTCACCTGCTCTCAGGCTCCCGACACAGGACAGATCCAGTAAACGAGGAGGTGAAAGAGTAGACCACAGCACACACAAGATTTAAGCAAAAAATGAAAGCAGGTAATAGAAAGAGTAACAGATACCCACACACCCGGAGTGAGTGGGTGACAGGCCTGGCCTCAGGCTGTTTAGACCTAGAGCCCATGACCTAAGACACTGTGTTAATTATGAGTCAGTTGTGGTAGCCACTTCTTTATTCTATACATATTTATCTAGTGCCTACCTTGGATCAAGTGGACTAGAAAAATAATTATTGCTTGCTTTTCAGTTTACACTGCCTTCCTTCTAAGAGGTAACTTATTTAATTCTTACAGAAAGTAATCTGTGAGGTAAACAACATTATTCCCATTTTACTGAGGAGGAAAGTTAAATTCATGGCAGTCATTTACACAGTATCCCTACCTACTGGAGCCAAGACATTAATCTACATGGCCCCTGTCTCTATGGGGTCACCTCTCTGCCTCATAGCAGAAGTTTCTTCCTCCAAATGTTTGTCTTCCTTGAGTTTAAGCTCATTTCACCTTCCTCAAGGCTGAAATTCAGGCTGAAAAGTTAAGTATCAAGAATGCATAATCTATTCTGTCTCTAAGAAGGATGGAGTAATGATTTCTGAAAGTATATCCCCCCTATAAAACAATGAAACATCAGCAAAAGCTTAAAATAAAACCTTGTAAATTAACTGAAGGTTTGTTCCAATCTAAAGCATGCTTATTTTGGAGAAGCAGCTGAACCAAAAGAATGAATGGGATTTGTGGCATTTTAATCTACCCTGATCCTATCCTCATTTCACTAACTACATGATAGTCTTGAAAATCAATAGTCTTGCATCTATAGCCATGAAAGCCCGCAGTCTGGCAGCCACTAGTGGAGACAGAATGGGACCGGAGCATCCCAAAAGTCCCATTCCCAGAAAATCATTATTTGATGCATCTGGAAGCCCACTCAAAAGTCCCTTCTCAGGTCTGTCTTTTTTTTTTTTTTTAACCTGATCCAGAGTCACTGTGCAAACAGCCATACGCCCAAGGAACTTGCCAAACACATTCAGTGATAGTTGTTTAACATCAAAGCTATCTAAGTTATTAACTCATTTCAAGGTAACAAGAGGCTGACCACAGAACTGAAAAGGAAAAACTGGAGAATGAAATGCCCAATGGGCATCTGTAAAGCTCCTACATATTACGGAGAATCCAGAACTATACATGCACATGCAAGGCAGTGTGCAGTTCACCCCTGAGTGAGCTGGATGCTGTGAGCGAGCAGAAAACAAAGACGAGACCAAATGCAAACCACCCACCCAGACATACTCCAAGTCCCACGGGAAATGATGTGAGAAGAACTTAATCCAGAAATATGAGGAAATCACTGTCCAATAATTAGATGATTTCTAAGCTAACCTAGCAAGTACTTGAGAGGTCAGACATAACAAAGAATACAGGCATTACAGAATTAGATTTTAAAAAATCAAGAATAAGGAGCTGCAGTAGCAACCACAGATAATAGCAAGAACACAGAAAACCCTGGGAAGAAAGGTAAGAATCTGATTTCTAGACTTTCCGTATTATACTGTTCAAAATATCCACATTTCAGCAAAAGGTTGAGTCACAGGAAGGAGAAAATACAAGAAAGTGTGGCCTATACACATAATTTTTTTTAAAAAGCCTTTAATAGCAACTGTCTTAGTTACTTTTTCTTGTTACTGAGACAAAATATCTGACACCTAAAGTTAAAGGAGGAAAGGTTTATTTAGCTCACAGTTTGTAGAAGTTTCAGTTCACAGTCGGCAGGCTCCAAGGCAGGGTGACATGGCAGAGGGGCATCGCAGAGCAGAAACAGTTCTTGGAAGGAAGAAGGCAGCAAAGCAGTGAAGTAGCAAAGAAGGAAGCAGTAAGCTACAAGCAGCCCCTTTTCTGTTCCTTGTATTCTATCCAGGCTGCAAGCCTGAGGGCAGGTAGCACTCACACCCAGGGTGGGCCTTCCCATTATCCACACCCAGAACTGTGCCAAACCAATCAGTGGACTAATCCTGCATCTGTATCCCAGCATCACACATTTAATACCAGCATCACACACTCTAGATCCAGGCACCTCTGCAAAGCCAGGCACCTATGAGCACATGGGGCTTTGGGGGACACCTAGACATGAGCCAGAGCAGCAATTTTGCTTTGAAGAAGCACAGATATTGGACTTACTAGACAAAGACTTCAAATCAGCTGTTAAAAATAGTTCAAAGAAGTAAAGGAAACCATGTCTAAAGAATTGAAGGAAAGTGTGAGCAACATATCTCACCAAATATATATAACAACAAAAACAGAGATCATACAGAATCAAATGGAAATTTTGGAGGCAAAAAGTGTAATAAGAAATAAAATAATCAGGAGAAGACTCAATATTTGAAATGGCCCAGAAGAGC